TTTTAACAATTCTATGATCAAAATGCGGAAATTATTTTAATCGAGAAATTTAAAAAAATTTTTGATGGTAACAAAAATAATTGTAAACTTTTGTAAGATGGCGACTTCACGAGATCAAGATCCCACGAGAACAAGAATTCTGAATTCTGTAATGCTCTACATATTTACAATCCGAAACGAAATATCATGCAAAAATAATTCGTGAGAAATCTCGAAAAAAGATATATATATATAAATAAATTATTGCTAATTTTTTAAATAGTTTTACGTAACTATAGGTACTATAAAAGACATATACGTATACTTTGAGAAAATGTACTATACAAACACAAAAGCGTTATCATACAATTTGTGCCGATTATCACAGAATTGTCAATCGTTTAAATGATTCATACATGGAGAAAGAGAAAACACGCATTTCAATATGTCGCGAATTACAAGAATAATTTCATTGATTCCTAGGAGTCGAAATTTCGAGAATTCTATTAGAATATGCTCTTCGATAATTTCGACGCTTATTGCTTAATTCAAATCTTCAATCGAATCTACGAGTTTCTTAAATCATTTAAATTTATAAAATTCAACGAGAAAAAAATATACGTACATCTTATTTGTAAATAAGTGTGTAACAAGTAAAATACAGATTCACAAATAAATTTTGTTATTCTTAGAAATATATAGCTCAAATACAATTCTAAAAATAAAGCATAGAGATAATATTTTAGTTAATTTCATTGTGGTTTCTCTCTAGTTCTTTCTTTAGTCATTCTGAAAATGTTAACGTGTTATCATGATAAAAGTTTCCTAACTTCCTTTATCCTATATTATTACGACAAATTCAACCTTTTTAAATACGAGATCCTTAATACCCGCTATAAATTGTGTGGTCGGGTAGTTAAAAGCTCATTTCGAAATTACTATAATGTGCGTGCATGCATTAGACAAATTAAATGAATAATATATATTTATATATATGTATATACGTCTAAAATTTGTCTCCAAGAGAGAGAAGATATTTTTCATATCTTCTCTCTTAAGCTTTAAATACAAATATAAAGGAATATTCTAATCTAAACGATCATTTTTTGGTATATTTTTGGCACGTGAAAAAAAATATATATAATTAACAATTTTTATATTGATATTTTATATTGATTTATATTGATATTTTCTTTAAGTTTGAATTTTTTTTTAAATTTAGTATCATCAAGATAAACGTTGCTACATTTGCATAAACGACTATATAACTTGAATATTTTGTAGCGTAAATAAAATATTTCATTTTTTTCTTATTCTAAAGAAGTTCGGGTATCTTTCAAAGTAGACTAAATAACACAAAATAATATTAATAATATAATTAATGTCTTTTTATATTGCCAATGATTCAATTCTAATTCAGAAAATAATGAGATCTTTATATTTTTTTATATGCGTATATAAAACGCATGTTAATTTGAAAAATATGGAGAACATTATATTGCCAATTTGAAAAATGCCATTTTGAAAAAAAAATTTCTCTTCATTAAATCTAATTCATTGCAAATTTACATACACATAAAATGTATTATAATATGTTGTGCAAATATTTTAAAAATATGATCCAAGACTAAAATTTTTAATCTTCTAGGTTAGAATATTCCCTAGATCATCGATTGTTAACTTTCGTCAATTTCAGTATTATTTGCAATAAAAAGATTTTTTCACTGTCTTTTCAGTATTTTGAATTATATATATGTGCTGTACACAAGGAGCAAAGAGCAATAATATGAATATTTTTAGTATATGTATGTATAATCATTATAATATATAATCATTATATATATATATATATATGGTATAGTATCACTCTGCTCCAGAACCTAATTTGAACTACTTTACATAATAAATCTGTTGTTCGAACGGCGCAAGATGATGTACAGCCTAATTCATGAGAGTGATATCGTGCCAAATGGCCGACATCAATTAAATAAAGATTCTGACACATGTCAAGGTTGACTCAATATTGCATCTCATCAGCGCATCATGCTCTGACATCGAACTACAAACTACACACTACTTTACATAAACCGTTCTAGATCAGACACGAACTAATCGTTCGTTGGAAATCGAACGCGATTTTATATAAGTTTTAATAATAATAAGTTATGTACAAGCTTTCTATAAAATCATTTACCGAGATGAACAACGAGTGGATACAATTTATTATTATTTAAATGTATGTATTAATCTTTTATATATATTTGTGAGTATACAAGATATTTCGAGACGAAAATTTTGATTAATTGTTTGGAAAAAATTTTGAACAAATAATATTATATAAACGTACATTACATTTATAATATTTTCTATTTATAATTATCATTATAAAATTTTAAATAATTGCTCGAATAATAATGTAATTTTAATATATTTATATAATTATTTCTTGTATAATTTAATATTATGAAAATATAAAATTAATTTATTAACAATATGAAAATTTATAATACGATATAATTCAATTCAAAATATTACAAAAATTAAGATTTATTTATATTGATTATATTTGTATGATTAAATGTAGAGCCTGAAATGTATAATAAAATTGTTGATTTATCATAATAATCGTAATAATCTCAAATTTTATTACAATAATATTCAGATCAATAGATAATCTTTCAATTTAAACATTATGCAAACAATTTGATGAATGTATATAAATTGAAGCAATATTTCGTTATTGATATTATTTTTATTAAATATATAATGAATTTATTACGATTTCTATAAATGATTAAATTTTCTTAACCTAAACCTAAATAAATATTGAAAATAGAATTCTTTTATGTAAAATTATTATATCATTTAAATTTCCAAACAAAAAATCAAATAATTATCACATCTCTTTTAATTCTCTTGTACATTATAAAATGAACTATTTTTGCAATTGCCTTTTAAGACAATGTACTAATATAATAATACATATATAGCAGTGTAAATTTTATCTATGTGCATCGAATAGCAGATAGTTATAGATATAGAAACTCGTTTAATTTTGAAATATATTCAGATCAAATAAAATTATAAACGAATATCATCATAAAAATAGTTGATACGATAAGAATATTAGAAATAAGTGATTTATTAAAGATATTCTGTTAGATTTAAATCTATGGATCATCATGGATGAGATGATGCCAATGACGAATACATCATAGTATCTTTAATACATCACTTGGCACGGATTTTAATGTCAATCAATTAATTCATAATAGTTCGCAATTATTTCTATATTACGAGTATAAATATACTTGATTACAATGGAACCATCAAGATATGTTTGATTGTACGCGACTTACGTTTTTATATGCTTCTGAACACTTGAAAACTGAATTTAATGATCATTTTATGTATTCCAACAAAGGAATTTTACTTAATCGTTTATTGTAAATGTGTACAGAGAAACATAGATGATTGTATGTTATCAAAAAAATATTAAAAACAATGTAAAAGAATAAAAGTTTCTTATATGAAAATACATGCCATGTAAATACATTTTTTTTTTAAAGAACATGGTAATGATTTTGTTCACCTGCTTTTAGCATTATATATAGTGTCAAGGATTTATAAAACTAATTCCAGTAACTATAGCAGTATGCTTTATCACAAACATTCTTTTTTTCCTCTTATTTAATGTTTTGTGTGAAATATTAATGCGAATATCTTTAAAGAGAACATGAATTCGATTATAAAATTTAATATAAATAGTTATTCGAATTATCTTCGTCAATTTGCTCCGTGATTTTTGGACGTAACACATTCATGTTTTGGTCGAGAATATATGTATGTCATAAGATAACTATAGATTTCTGTTTGAATATCCTCGTCTATTTTCATTGTAATTATCGAAATGCCAATCGAAATGCCAATCGTATTGCACTTAAAAACTTGTATGCTACATATATAAACATAAACAATAATCATATTCATAACATAATATTGCTATAATCCATGTATTATGTAACTATCAATAATTTATTCCTTTTTTTTTTTTTTTTTAGTTGCATAAGATTTCTTGTCTTCATTTTTATATAACATGCGATTCCATGTATTATCCAAACACAAAATATATTAATGTTATTACAACTGTACAATAATGAATAATATTTCTATTCTATCTTAAATTATTACGTACATTTATTCCATGAACGTATCCTCATTGAAGACGAAAGACACGTTAATGTAAATGCATCCTACATGCTAACAATGCGTCAAATAGTCCGACGTAACAATGATGATGTTTTAAAACAGATAAAAAAAAGAGATTTGTAAAACGACTAGAAATAATTATCGACTAGATTTCTCACTTTGTAAAGAACTTTCAAAAAAGCAATTTATAATTAATTTATAATTTATGGATAAATTAATCATTCTTAATTTATAGCTAACATGTCACAATTTTTTACTTTATGCTAATACTAATTCCTTCCTTATTTAAATTGGACATAGAAATTAAATATGAAATTCCATTACTCTAGGTTTTTATATTGAATATTGTTTGTATGTAGGATACATATTTGTCTTGTATCACTACAAGTTTCCACTACCTAAAAGGCCATTAAAGATTTTTTTTTTCTCATTGCCTGGGAAGATACCAGTGCCATACTTTGGAAGCGCTAGATTTTAAAAATTTTTTTCTTTTTATCTTTTACCTTTAATTGTGCCATCATGAGAACTATTGAAAGATGTGTATATTTATAATAAATATAATAAATAAATCATCAATGACTAAGAAATATTAGGATAAAAATATCTTAAATTTTTGCATTATGCAAAGTATACATTAAATAAAATGAGTATTATTACATCAAAATCCTTAATAATAATTCTAATAAAAAAAATATTGTGCTTTAAACTGTGTATCCACCAAATATATAAAATATTTTTTATAAATATAATAAAGAGAATCTATTTAAATAATGCATTTAATCAAATAAATATGTATCAAATAAACATTTTTAAAAATATTTTGAATATAAATTGAGATTCAATAAATAGAGAATTATTGAATTTAAATTAAAAAAAAAATAAATTATGACAATTTTAATATGAATTTTATATTTGTGATATTTTTTTTTTTAATAAAACAATTTTTTTAATATTTGATTTCATTAAATTTTTGATTTCATTCATAATATATAAATATTTACAAATAATATTAAATATTTACCAATCAGTGGATACTCAGTTATATATAATATGTAATATTATTTTCTTTATCATTTTTGGCAATAGCACTTCCAGACAGTGGCAGTAGGCACTTTGATGACAATAAAAAGATAATAATGAGTACAAAATATTACAAGTTAATCCACCTTTAAGGCAGGTAAATCATTTCCAACAATCAATTGCTCCTTGGGAAAATCTAGAATTACGGTCACATGAAAACCCATATTTGCAGAAGCAATCACATATTCACATAATGAAAACCAGCTAAATGCTATTAAAAAAAGATTATAATAGGTTTTATACATATTATATATATATCATTACAATTAAGTTTAATTAAAAAATGTAATTTTTCTTACCTAGATCATGACACAATAATCTGTGTTTTAGGAAGAAAATAATAAGTCCAACAGTACTAACAAGACTAGTTATAAAAAGTGCTTGTTTGTATTGAAGACTTTGTGCATTTGGTGTTATGAGACGACCTAATCTCACTGCTGTTAACATATATGTTAAAGAACTAATCATAAAGGCAATGAAAATTTTTTCATGCACAGCTAAAAGATAAATAATATTTATTATTATCAATTTCTATAATTATGAATTATAGAATTGATTATGTTATTAAAATAGTACTATATTGAAATAGTAAATTAATTAACAAATATTATATTATATTATATTAGTACTCACAATAATTTTCTCTGTTAGAAATATATGTAACACCACATAAAGCTGCCACTTCCGCAATACTTAACCAATAACATAGATTTAAAAGTCTACATCCCATGATTTTAGATGGTACATCTTCAATTGTCTTGAGTATTTTATAATAATATGAATGATATACACTAGCAATAATTAGACGAGGACCTATATGTAATGCTATACTTATGCGCCATAAATATCTTTGAGGAGATATACCAGTAATAGCTGAGATTGATGGAAGTACATTATAAACCTAAAATAAAAATATTTTAAAAAATAATAAATTAAATATATTTAAAATAGTAATTTAAAAAATAATAAATATATATATTTTACATACTCTACAGTGTGTTTCATGAATATCATCTTGTTGGAAGATATATGCAGTAATAAAACACACTAAAAGTGTAACAAGAGGTAAAGATACCGTTGCTATACATAATTTCTTGAATGATATTGCCACATGTATAGAACTTTTATTGTTTCCCACATTGTTTAATTCCATTGTGAAATTATGTAATAAAATTTGGCATTTAAGCACAAAATAAAAATATTTAAAAATAAGATCTAAATCAGTCTACATTAGGATCATTTCTGCCTTTCAATTTTTATTAAAAATATTAAAAAGTTTCTTTAAAAATTTCATAATATGCCTGTAACAAAAAATTTTATATTAGTAAAATGAAAAAACATTATAAAAATGTATTAAAACATAATCTATATTTTATTTTATTCTCATATATTATTTTATAACATATATATCATTACTATATAAAATTCACACTATAATATTTATTGGAATATTAAACAACTATGATCAGTACTAGTACATTAAGTACAATTACATATTCATCAAAATGAGTTTTATTTAATAAACATGTTATTTATTATGTATTTATTTCGCTTTTTATTAAATAATTAAAATAAATATTATATTAAAAGGCATTTATGAAATAAAATAAAAATATTTTTCCAAAAGCAATCAAAACTGCAATTATATAATATTAGATCTTTGTTTATAAATTTCATACACAAAATAACAAACATATTTAGTTAATTTCTCTATTTTCAGAATTGATTTTGTGGATAACCTACTTTTTCTATTTATAGCAAACAAAGGCACTGTCACGGGTAACGCGATGTTCGTGACATTTGCCTGGAAATAATTTATTATTACATTTAACACTTTTGCACAGAATTTATTACCTATAATTGAATTTTATTTATGTTATGTCGATGCGAAACTTTATTAATTAGTTAAAAAATAATATTTTTTTTTTATCTTTTTTTCTTTAAATTATGAAAAGTTACTTTATTAAAATGGTTATATCTATGTCTAGCATCGGATTTAACAGTTAGGTTGTTAATTGATTTAACAAATAATTAAAACCTTATTTCTTGTTCAAAATAGTAGAAATGTTTCGAAATTCGAATCAGTATATAAAAGATAAACAGAATATATAATATATACGAACAATTAAATAACTTTTCAATACTGTATATAAAAAAGAAAGAAATTTAATAATATGTCATAATTTCAAATAAATAACAATTTATTCAAATTAATATTCTGTTAACAACAATTTATTCATTCATATTCATTTATGATCTTCATGCAGAAAATCGAGAGAATTTACCTTATTCCTTGTGTACAAACGTATCGTCTGCTAGTTTGTGAATTTCTGTTCAAAGAAATGCCATCTATGGTCTGTATAAATGTTTCTAATGCATTTCGTATTAGCGCCAACTTCAAATTTTTTCGTTTTTAAAAAAATGAACTTATACACCAACTATTTAAAAATTACTAAAAATTAAAAAAAAATAAACTATAATAAAAATTAAAGAAAAAATTAAAAAAGGGGAAAACTTAAAAATTATAAAATAATTTGTAATTTTATTAAAAATATAATTACAATTATCCTAATTAAAAATCTATTATATTCGAACTCTTTCACGCGGCTCTTCCTCCATTTCGTATTCAATTTCGACTTTTGGACGGGTTTTCTTTTGTAATTTCGTTTTCTTGATAATCGATTTCTTTGCTTTTTTATCTAATATAGGTACTATATCCTATAATAAAATAATAATTTTAGAAGAAATTGAATTATAAATAAGAATAAATACAAATATATATTATATAATATTCATTACTTCAATATCGCTCGTGTCAGATATAAAATTGTCAGACAATTCGATTTCTTCTCTATGTCCTGAATCACTATCCTCATCCTATTAAAACAGATCAATTAATATATATATGCTTTAATAAGAAAAATTCAATATGAAAAATTACAATCTATATTTAAATGAAGAATATAAATTACCATAGATACTTCTTCAATATTAAAATCATTGTCGTCATCTTCTTCATCAGTTTCTGCTTCTACAAAATGAGGTTCATTTGTTTCTCTTTCTCTTTCATCTGCTTCCAATTGTAATTCTACCTCTCTCTCAATTTGTAGTTCTCTTTCTTGTTCTTCTTCTTCTTCATTTTCAGTTTCACTTTCACCTTCAACTTCTACAGCTTCTACAGCTTTATCAAATACTTTTTGTGGAAAATTGTAAATATCATTATACTGAAAAAAAAAATTATGTTTTTAAACATTTGGAAGAATACATATATAAATAATTATAATAAAAAAATATTTACCATGCCTTGCTTTAATCTCTCCATTAATTGTTTTTCTATTGATTTTTCTAATCTTGCAGCTATAAGAGCTTTTTCTTCCCTACGTCTTTCTCTTCTTTCAATTTTCCTTTGAATTGGTATAATTTGTTTTTGCCTTCTTAATCTTATTTTTCTCATACGTATGAGATATTGTGTAATTTTCACAAATCTTTGTTTACATTTTGCTTTTATAAAACCAGGCCAATAGAGCAAATTTTCATTAATTTGATGAATTGCTTTTTCAAAATTCCTAGATAGTTTTACCTTCTCCCATGCATTTTTTGGAAAATGTACTCTGAAAAAAATAAATATGTATATGTTATAATTTATTATATAATTTTTAGAAAATTTAATTTCTTATATTAAATAATAAATTTTTACCTTTCTGCTGTTCTCATGTATAAATAAATTATACCATTTTCTTCCCTAATTGTTGCATATTGACTATTTGCTAGAGGACATGATGCTCTACTGCATAATCCCGTAAGATTATATTCGTTACGACAAAACTTCTGTGTTTTAGTACTACAAAAATGAAATATAACTTTAAATTATGAAAAATTATTTTTATATTTTCTAATTTATACATACTTCACTTTGAAAGAACAAAAAGACTTATTAATAACACTCCACACAACCTAAAACAATTTATTATATAAAATATCAATATTTAATATAAATATAAATAATATACTCACATCGTCGTGTTGCATTTTGTTTATATTTTATATATTTTATAAAATATATCTCTTATATTTTATAAATATTATATAAAAAACATACACGTGTTTCAAAGATTTTTCAACATTATAGGTTATATTAAATCTGGTAAATTAAATGGAATACTGTGCCATCTAGCGGTGAATTAATAAAATCACATATAAAGTACATATATTTTCCATATAAAATATAAAATGATATTCAATATATTTTTTGTTCCATACTTAAAATACAAAAAATAAATATAAACAAAAAATGTAGGAAGAAAAAAATTGTGAGAGAAAGATAGAATAAAAATTAGGAAATCAGAGTTATCTCTAGAGCCAAAATGAAACACAAAGGTAGACAAGGAAAACAAATAATAAAAAAGGTAAGAGATAGAATAGAATTGATTATTAACGCCATCTTTTGAATAAATATTTCAAAAATATTTTTTCTGAAGATACAACACGCGATACAGTAAGGTACAATATTCAAAAGTTGATCCTTATCTCTGTTTTTTCCCATTATTTGTTCTTCTCATATATATTTATTTTTGAAACATAAAGTACAAGATATCATTTAAATATATTTTCTTAATTTTTCTTTCAAAATTATAATATATTTAAAAAAAATAAAATAAATATACTTTTGTTATAATTTTTATGTAATTTAATTATATCTATTTGAAATATATACACAATATATTAAATTCAAATATAATTAATTAAAAAGGTGATATAATACCCATTATCTCCATTACTGCTAGATCAAAAGATCTGAAAAAATTTTAACATATTTTTATTATCATTTTACTATTATTAATATACATCAAGATAATTACAAGTTGCATGAACTCACTTGGAATTAAGTTGATCACCTGGAATGTAAAATGGATTACATACAGCATTAGAATAAGCTGCATGTAATTTCTTAAAAATCTATAAAATATAAATAATTGTCATAAATTTAATATTAAATATTTGAAAAAAAACTTACCACTTTTACATCATTATCTCTCAGAGATATGTTTGATGAATGTAATACAATAATAAATTTGATTTTAGTATTTGTGACATAACCATATCTGCAATTGAAAAATAAAATATTTTGCACAAAATATAATTTATTTTTAAATTACAATATGTATTATATATACATTTTATATTCTTCTGTAGCATATAATAAGCCTAAATATAAATCTCGTATATCAATAGTAGTTTTATTTCCTACATTTAATTTTTCCTCTATTATGTCAATTGATGTATGAACTTTGCAATGAAATTGCAATGCTGATGATTCATCTATACATCTAATATATTTAGGAGAATTCTGTAAATAAGTTTGAAATATTATACATTGCAATATATGTATTATTAATTGTATCATTTATTAGTTATTATTATTTTTAGCTTTTCGTTCACTATAACCTCAAAAGATGAAAAACTATATAATTACGTCTTTTCCAATTACAGCTACACAAACTGCCATATTTATAAGTCTTATAAACTTAAAACATTATTATCCGTAACAAAATGTAAAAATGTTTAATACACAAGTTAAAAACTACAATATTTGAGAATTATTTTACACTTAAATAACGTTTAAACTTCATAACATATAGGTTATACTGTCATATCTAACAATTATAATATTAAGATTTAATTACAAAAATACATATATATTTATTAATAAAATTATTAATTATACAATATATTATGAAATATATGGTCTTAATAAAATCATGAAGAGTTTTTATATTTTTGAATAAAATAAAATATTTTTATTTATTTTTCTGAAATAAAAACAATGAAATTAATTAAAAAATAATTTCATTGTTTTGAGTAAATTTTTTTTTATTTTATATTCAAATATAATAGTATAAATATAATATATTATTTTTCATAATATCTTTTCTTTAATGTCCTATACTTGCGTAACATATATAAAGCTTCTAGTTCTTTAATAACAAAATCACCATGAGCCAACATTTTATCAATTTTTTCAGGATCACGTTCTTCTTTATTTTTTTCAAAAACTTTTCTTACATTTTTTCTGAAAAATTCATAACCTCTTGGATAATCTCGACCCATATACAAGAGCTAAAAATATTGATATAAATATTATTATGTGTATAATAATAAAAAATAGATCTAAATACTATATTTTTTGTTATTTATTGTATATTTTATGATTTCTATTTTTCTTAAAACAATATATTCGTTTTTTTAATAACAAAAATCAAATTTAAATTCATATTTTATACCGTCTTGTATAAATTGATGACTTTTGTACGTTGAGACATCAATTATAATTAAATATTTTATCAATCAATCAACTGTTATGTAGTTATTATATTAACATAGATATGTAAATAATGTTAATATTTCATTATAGATATTATAACATTAACATAAACAACTAATTTTTTTACTAAAAATAATATTGTTGTTACACATATAGATATACATATATAAACTTTACTTATCTATAACATATATTCTATCTCTTCAAACGGTGCTTTATGTATATGGTTATACGTTAACAAAGTACTTTGGCTTATATAAGAAAACAAAACTGACAAGAAAATCGTTATTAATTAGAAAATTTAACAAACTTAGAAAAATCATATAGTGCCGCGATGTAGTAGTATCATATAGTGCGCAGTCGTAGTATCATATCATTATAATTATAAATTCAAAATTTATTTTTTTATAAACAATAAACTTATTAAAAAAAAATTTTTTTAACTGAAATACATTTCATGTCATAAAATTAGTTGTTTCTAATTTCAAATCATATAAACCACATAATCTACTTATTCTAAAGGTAATTTAAAGATAATAATAAGTACAAATGTCAATTTTATATTCGCAATTATTTTTTTTAAATCATTATTTTCTTAATATTTCTAAAACATTTTATATTTTCTTTTTACTTTTTTTAAAAAAAATAAAATATTGTTTATATATATATATGATAAATTTTAATTACATTTATAAATATAGTTCTATATCTTATTAGTTTTTATTGCAAAATATGCTTAAAGATTCATATAAAAAATAATTTTCTCAAGTTAAATCACTTATTGTCTCTAATCGAATACAAAATAAGAAATTTTATAATAATAAAATCCAATGATATATGCAAAATGAAATAAATTATTAATTACAAATATTTAAATTTTTATGAAATATATGTATATATGAAGATTATTACAAAGTAATAATCAATACATATAATATTCAATTTTAAATAATTAAATAATTTAAATGTATTATATTAATGTTATTATATAAATCATATATATATTGAATGATTAATAAATGTATTATTATGGAACATATTTTTAAAAAATCAGAAAATTACATCTCATTTAGTGGTAATATCTTATCTTAGTTTATGAACGTATATAAAGTTCGACAGTGAGGAAAACTGAGTCACTGAGATTTTATTAGAGTGTCTGTGTTTATATTCGATATTATGAGATGATCGTGGTATTTTGAAAAAATTATACTCAAAAGTTCTTTAACCGTTAAACAAATTTCTTCAAAACTATTCAATATTTTAATTGAGTTAATATATTTAGAGAATTTATCGTGAAAATCAATTATTGTAAGTAGAATAATTGATCTATATGTTTTCTAATCAGTTTCTTTTTTTTTAGATATTTAGATATTTACTTTCTTATTTAATTAAATTTAATAATTAATTTAATTAAACTCTTGAACATGTAAAAATGAATTTTTTCATTATTAAAAAAACATATTTTAAATATTTATAAAAATATAAAAATTTTCTTTATAATTTATAAAACGATTATTTTTAATTTTGTAATTACAAATTTTGTATATTTATTTTTTCAATTACATGTTTTAATTATTTATGTTATTCTTTCAATATTTTTAATATTAAAAAATATTATTTTATGAAATATTTTTTATTTTTTTTATAAAATTTATAAAAATTATTTAACATAACATATTTTAACATAACCGATTATTTGACAAATAATTTTTTTTTCATAATTTCTAACTAAATTAAATTGTTCTATTATATATCTATTATATATTATATTATCTGTTAATGTAATAATTTAATCAATAATATCTAAATAAATCATAATGTTAATAAAATTGCAAAATATAAATATCTAATTAATAATATTTTTATTTTTTTACAGAAAATAAAAATGTATATTTGTACAAATACTTTTATATTATTATTGCTAGGTAAGATAATAATTTTAAACTTCTTTGTTTAATTTCTATTATAAAATTATATAGAAAATATAAATAATGATTGTTTTTATCAGGAGTGTCTTGTATTGTGGCTATAGAATCTCCAACATTTAGCAACACTTATACAGTAAAAGGAACTTTATATATTCCATATGCAGAAATCCGTGAACCATTTTATGCATGGTATGATGGTACACGTGGATCTAGTAGAATTGATTATTATGGAGGTAATTTAAATATATATTAATATGAATGGATATTTTTTTAAGTAATAAAATTGATTAAATATGATTCAATTAGGAATGGTGAAGACTTTCCAATTATCTCACAAAGGAGAATATGGGAAAAGTATAAAAATTGCTCCAGTTACCACAGAATCTGTTACCAATGAAGAAACATGTCTTGAAGTAAATGGTACTAAGGAAATAAAAATACAACCTCAAGTTATTTTACCAGATACAACTAGTATGCAGGTAAAATAATATTTTTCATTTTCTTTTATATATATTTAAATTTAATTAATACTATAGAATTAAATTTTATTTAGTGTATTGGAGAGGAAATAGTTAATGGATTATTATGTGAAAAGTGGAGATTGGAACAACAGATTGATGAAAAGATAAACAAGTATACTCTTTGGATAAGATATAAGGTAAAGTAATTATATTTTTTATCTTTATATATTTTTATCACTTATTTTTATTAATTGAATATATATAATTTTAAAATTACAGAAATCTCCACATTTACCTAATTTTAAAGAACCTATTCCTGTGAGATATGAAATGAAAGGATTTAATAGTCTTTTGGGCTCTCACTATGATCATTATTATTTAGATTATGATTGGTACTCATCTGATATACCTAGCTCAGAAGTATTTGAAATTACAACAAGTAACTAAAATTCTTTTCATTTATTAACATAAATTTCATTTAAATATATTTTAATCATGGAATATATACTATAAATAGATATGACATGTATTGGTTTTCCTGGACCTGGAGACAAACATATATATACCTTTAATCCTATGCGTGAATTTGTTCACAATTATGATACACATGTAAATGAAGCATTTGAAGATTTCAAAAAAATTCATAACAAAAAATATAAGAATCATACAGATCAACTGATGCGTAAAGAAATATTTAGGCAAAATTTAAGGTAAATATTGTTTATATATATATATATATATATGTCATATAAATTGTGTAACTGATTTAAAATATTTGCAGATTTATACATTCAATTAATCGAGCTAATAAAGGCTATCAATTAAATGTTAATCATTTGGTAGATCATACTGAGTTAGAATTAAAAGCTTTACGTGGCAAACAATATAGTAAAGGTTACAATGGAGGACAACTTTTTCCTTATAATATTGAACAAGAAATAACAAGTATCCCAGATAACTTAGATTGGAGGCTCTATGGTGCTGTTACTCCTGTTAAAGGTTTATATCCTATTTTTTTAAAAAAATTGTTCAATATTTCAAGCCAATAAAAATTTTTTTAATTAAATAGATCATTGTGTAACTGATTTAAAATATTTGCAGATTTATACATTCAATTAATCGAGCTAATAAAGGCTATCAATTAAATGTTAATCATTTGGTAGATCATACTGAGTTAGAATTAAAAGCTTTACGTGGCAAACAATATAGTAAAGGTTACAATGGAGGACAACTTTTTCCTTATAATATTGAACAAGAAATAACAAGTATCCCAGATAACTTAGATTGGAGGCTCTATGGTGCTGTTACTCCTGTTAAAGGTTTATATCCTATTTTTTTAAAAAAAATTGTTCAATATTTCAAGCCAATAAAAATTTTTTTAATTAAATAGATCAATCCGTTTGTGGGTCCTGCTGGAGTTTTGGCACAACTGGTGCAGTTGAAGGCGCCTATTTCATGAAGTACGGTAAATTAGTGCGTTTATCTCAACAGGTAAAAAAAATTAGAATATAATTAAATATGAATATTATAATAAAAAAATATTTTATTGTGGTATTTCATGATTATAGGCACTTATTGATTGTTCATGGGGTTTTGGAAATAATGGCTGTGATGGTGGTGAAGATTTTAGATCATACCAATGGATCATGAAGCATGGAGGTTTGCCTACTGAAGACGAATATGGTGGTTATCTTGGCCAAGTAAATAGATTTTAGATATAATTATTTTATAGACAACATCGACATAAATATATATAATTAAAGATAAATAAATTTTTCATTATCTTAACGATATATATCTTATCAATAACGATAATTTATATTTTTTATCTATAATGATGATCTATATTTCTCATCCATATTAATAAAATCTTAATGATTTAAAGATTTAATAATTTAAAAAATTAATTACTTTAATGAATTAAAAAATTTTGAAAATTATTTTCGATTATTTATCTGTTTAGGATGGTTATTGTCATGTAAATAATATTTCAATGATAGCAAAAATTACTGGTTATGTAAACGTAACATCAGGAGATGCTAATGCTTTAAAAATTGCTATTGCAAAGCATGGTCCAATTTCAGTTGCAATTGATGCATCCCATAAAACATTTTCATTTTATTCTCATGGTATATATTATGAATCAACTTGTGGTAAGTAAATATAATATTTTTTAAATAGACACTTTATCAAAAATATATTATATCAATTTATATCAAGAATATAAAGAAACATCTTGCTTATAGGTAATATAGAAGAGTCGCTGGATCATGCAGTTTTAGCTGTTGGCTATGGTAAAATAAATGGAAAGGATTATTGGTTGATTAAAAATTCATGGTCAAATTACTGGGGTAATGATGGATATATCCTTATGTCTCAAGAAAAAAATAATTGTGGTGTATTAACAACTCCAACATATGTTACCATGTAAAAAAAATAAGCAATATTATTTTTATGTTTTTAATGTAAAAGTATATGAAAAAAAAGTTTTTGAAAATCACAAGTTTATATTCTTTTTTTTTTTAAATATGAAAAATTGATATTTTATAATTATTTAAAAATATAAATGTACTATAAATATAAAAAAATAAATTGTTCAAACTATATGTTATTTGAATAATATAAAATTTTTAAAAATTTATATGTATGTGGATTAATATTATTTAAACAAAAACAAAATGACTTTTATTGAAAATCTTTAGTATTTAAAAGCAATTTTATAATTTGTTTTCTTTGTTCCTATTACTAAAATGATTCAATAACAAAAGATATAAAAATACCATAAATTTTGGATTAAAATTCTATACAATGTAAATACAAATTGCGTACAATTGCAATTTGTTAATTTGCAATTCACAAAGTAATGTTGTTTACTTGTTACAAAAAACATAAAAAAACATAAAGAGCTATATAATTAATGTCATATTCTCTTCTGAAAAGTACTACAAAAAGTAGATAAAATTATACACAGATAATTCTATGACATCAATATTAAACTATTGCTTATGTGTTGGAAAGCCTGATACCGGAATTATAATAACAATTACTTACAAAAATATATGTAATTTCAATAGGCACAGTTTGCATAATACAATTTTTTAATTGTTATAAAATTATATAGATATATACTGAAAAAGTTACATTACTGTGCGTTCAATAGAATTGAATATTTTTTAAAATACAATTGAAAGAATTATTACATAAATCAAATTGAAAATGTTCAAAACATAAAAATGTAATTTAATTAATTTTTTGATCATATAAAAACTTTTACATGATAATATTATATCATTCTTTTATCATCAATCTATTTAGATTTCATTTAGATTTATCATAATTGATCAGTGTAATACATTATTGATTTAATATAACAATATATTTACTTAAGAAAATTAATTTTTCAAAAACATAAATAATACATTTAAAAGATGAAACATTTGTATTCAGAATATATTTTTAAAAAAGTTAATTTTTAATGAATTCCATTATTTAATATAATCTTCATCTTCTTGTGTCTTAAATCTAATACTCATATCATTTTGTTCAAAATTCATATTGCATATTATATATTAAAAAGTAATTTTCGTTACGTTTTCAATTCTTTATAACTTGTGCAATTTTGTGCTATTCGGTCGATTAAATCATATTTTACACGATATTATAATTTTAAGAGTAAATTTTCAATTATTATATTATGAAGCGATAGATAATCTTCATATAACGGCACTACTATTATATATTTGATAAAAAAAAAAAAACAATTGACACAATATTGTATTATAAATTAATACGCGAAAAAAAATTTTTTAAATTCATATATGCAAAATATCCTTATGCTTGTTTTTTCTTTTCTTTTACAAATGTATTCTTAATTAATATAAAATATATATATATATATATAAAAAAGGAGAGAAAAATAAATTTTATAATTATTAATGGTATTAACTTTGGTTCAAATCATATCTCTCCTTTTTATGAATTAAGATTGCAAGTATACAATATAACTTTGTATACTTTAAAAATATTACTTAACTATCTTTAGTATTATCATAAAATTAAAAACTTTAATGATACTAAAATTTTACACGCGATGTATATGTGCTATTTCTGATTAAAGATAATTCGAAATAGTTTGAAATAAGTGTTCTTATTATATGTAATATATGTGAAGAAATAAATGTTAAAGATGCACAATATTTCAGTCAAATATTCTTATATAATGAAACTAATAAAACAATGACTATACTTTTCACGAATTACTATGTCAAAAAGTATCAATATTATTACATTTACTGGGATCATACTATAATTAAATAATTGGATTAAACTGTATCACAATATTCATATAAAATTTCCGTAAGATTTCGAAATATACAGCGATCAAAATATTATATATAACTAATGAATATTACGTGTAACATTATCCTGCTTACAGATTTAATTTTTTTCGACCACTTTAGATTTTATACGTACATTTGTAGAGCAATATGTTTAAGTACACGAGAAATACAGTTTTCAACAAATTAATTTTCACGGTCGAAAACGTGCAGGAATTAATTAGAAATATTAATATTATATATAACTCTCTAATTTTCATTTTTGTCTTTTTCTTTTACTTTCATTGTATATCACTTGTGGACCCTGCTCCGATCGGTCGCATTGACGATCGATAAATAACTATGATCGATAATCGTATATAGCGATCTTGAGAAATAGTCGATCCTCAATTTACGATCGATATAGTAGGAATGTTTAAAATGTTCACTTGATAAAACTTTCTTTTTCTTTCTTTTTTTTTTTTTTTTTTTTTTTTTTTACTTTTCATTATCGATAGTAGAGAATATAGAAATATTTTATATAAGTTCCCATTTAACGAACTAAGATATTTCTCATTTTAGACATAATGTTTTGAAACTTTCCATTCTTCTTAACTCTATTTTTTTTATAAATGTATTCTGTTTAAAGAAATCCCATTTCTAAGGCGTTATACAATGATTGTGTGTCCGAATGACTACTTATTCTCCAAAATGGGAAATTGTGGGCACGTGCTGCCGTTTCTTCATCAGTATCGTCGCCTATTACCACATACGTACATCTTCGACCAAATCGCGCGACTACTCTTCCAAAACAACTTTCTTTTCCTAAAATTTATATTACTTATAGAAGTTTGATTACATAAATAATATAATTAGTAACAATTAATTATACATCACTTAAATCGTAATATAATAAATATTTTAAGTTAAATATTTAAATATTTTTACAGAACTTACCAATTTTTGAAGCAGAATAAATATTCTCAATTGGAAATATTCCGCCAATTCCAAAAAGTAATACTTTCGATAAAGCTGGTACTAATTGTGTGGTAGTGACTAAAATGTTAATGCAGTCACTTCTTTTATTTATAAGACTCAAACATTTTACAGCGGACGTTAGCCAATTGTCAGTCAATACTTCGATCTCTGAACGAAGTTGTAACCATTGTTCTTGTTTCGCAGCACCCAACAAACCGCCAACATTATTTCGATAATTATTATAGATTTCTTTAATTTTTCGATAACGAAAGGCTAGTTTTCGCATCCAATCAACACCACCTCTTACACCAGAAGCCAAGCAAATACCATTGTTTGTAGATGCACATTGGAAACCATCGTTAGCAAAATTATAAGAAGATAAATCTTGTCCATTATCATCTGATGATACATCATCGATGTGTACTTGATCACAGTCCTAAAGGTTAAATCAAAAAAGTTATTGTCGAAAATATAAATTTCACAAAGATGCAATGCAATTTAATAAATAATAATTAATAAAAAAGATTTATTATTTTTCAATTAAAGCATTTTAATTTTTCATGAAATAATGAAAATGTATATGCTCGAAGTAATACCTCGACATCATTGAAAAAAAAGTGAGTATCAGCCAAATTAAATATCATCTCCTCCATTCTATATGCCACTTGGGCCAGAAGAGCCGGATCCTTACGGTGCTTCGTTGCAAATTGTCCAGTAAGTAGAGAGTGAAATACAACTATGGTTTCGTCCAGGTCCCAAATGAATATCCGGTCAGGACCGGCTTCTGTCGTATCCGCAGAACCTATACTATTTCCACTTCCGCTTTGACGTCTTCCGCGTCTGCAAGGTTTCGCTGTCGCTCCTGAAACATATTCATAAAATATTATGTCATATTTTTTTTTAACAATATATATTTTTCATTCTAAAAAAAATAAGTATAAATATTTATATTGTTCATAAAATAAAACAAAATACGTAAAACAAATTATTTTTAAATTATTATTAAGAAATTTATTATTACGAGAAATTTAACATAAGAAAATAAATTTAAGAAAGATATCATACGATCGTTGTCGCGTAATCAACAAGTAAAATCTATGATTGTAAAAACCATTTCTTTGAATATCTATATATTTGTTATTTATTGTTGTTATTTGAACAATATGTTATAATTTTAAGATCTCTTTTATTTCAAGATATAATTTTTAAAATATCATTCTAAATTTTTTTTTATAATTTATTTATTTTATTAGATATTTTTTTAAAGTTGCAACCCATTCAAGGAGAAGATAACGACGCAAAAAATAGAGATATAAAATCACACGTACGAATCGTGTTACCTTCGATGTTTGCGGTTTCTCGTGCGGTAAGATCGCTGGCATCGTGAGTTGTTGCGTCCAACGTAAGTGCAGATTTTGTCGAATCTTTTTACAAAGAAGGAAATCGTTACTATAAATCATAATTGTAAATAAATCGTAACTGTTATAATATGTAAAATACACAAAATAAAATGTTTCTACATATAAATGAAAATAAAAAATTCTTAATATTTTTAAAATATGAAGTAAACAAATAAATTAAAAAATAAAAATTTATAAGTGAAAAAACAATATTTACTAAAATCAAATTGTTTAATTTTAATGAAAAAATTTTTAATTAAAAAGATTTAACGAAATCAGAACTTAATCTTTAAAAAATTTTTACACATAAATAACTTTTTCTTTTTGTTAATACATTTACAATTTACAAATAACAATAAAATAATTTGCAAGATTTACAATTATTTTTTTAATATTGTATTTATACAATATTATAATATTTAATTTTAAAATTAATATTCATTCGCCTTTTCAGCAAGTAATACGATTAGAAAACAATTCTATTTCTAATAAATGTATGATGTAACACAAAGTGGAAATTCAACAATTCATGCAATATAGCAATAATAATTGAAATTAATTCCGCCTTTATTAAATTTTCATCTCGAAGTTTATTCCATAAAAATCTACTAATCAAAAATTAAAAACATTAACGAAGGAACGTTACCAGCAAAATTTAAGTTTCCAATGTTAAACGAGGTGGGTGTTGCATGGTAACCGTGCATAGGATAATATCCGGAATACTGTAATGGTACCCTGTCATTTCCGTATAAACTGCTACTATAGGCGCTGTAATCTAACTTCTGAAAAAGCATAAAAACAAATGATAACGATGGAAAATGATAAATAAAATAAACTTTAGATTTTTTAATACCTGTGAAGATGGTGATATATTTTGAGCCACATTAGGAAAATTTGTGGGGCCGCTATTGTACGTAGCGTAAGACGAGTATTGAGTCATGGAGCTTGGCGTCGTGTACGAGGTCAGGTAAGAACTTTGCAAGCTTGAGGTGTTTTTCCCAGCTGTAGTTGACCCATAGGGTGGCGAGTTGTATAAACTAACGGCATAAAGTTTCTATGTTAAACGTACATTTATTAATGTTTAGTAGCTAAAGGGTATACACAAGTATTAATAATTCAGTGAGATGCGTATAGGCGTATAGGTTAGAAACATAGAGATATAAAATAATGAAATTTTTTAATAATATATAACGTAAGTAAAATAATGAAATGTTACAAAAAATATTTTAAAAATAATTGAATTATAATATATAATATTATAATATAATAGATAATATATATATATATAGATAAACATACATGGAACATACATAACATAATATTTTAGATAAAAAATATGTGTTATAAAAAACTTTGGAATTTCTTTTTTTCTTTCTTTTTAAGATAGATGTAAATTTTTGTTGACATATATTAAATTTTTAACATCGAATATTTTTTAAAGCAAAGCTACTGAAATTTGAGTTTCGTGAGAATTAAGAAATTGACATAAAAGTGTGTGTTTAGCAAGAAATGAATTCTATATGAGTCATATAAGAAAAAGAGAGTAGGTATTTGGTTTGTTATTTTATCTTTCAAAGCAAAAATGATTCTGAATCTATAATATGTTTATTTTTATTATTTTATGAAAAAATAATCTTTAGTAAAATAGAAAAAAAGTTTCTATAAATATTCTATAAATATTATTAAATTCTATAACAATTCAAATAACAAATTATTTCATATTATATTCTATAATAATATAAAATATTTATATAAAATAATATAGAAGTACAAATTTTATAATTCATTTCAAAGATTTGAAAAAATAAATTGATCGTTAGTTTCTTTCAATTATTTGAATATTGCAATATGTGATTTTTTATCATTTAAAATCAGAATAATTTCAAGAGAAGAGTATATATAGTTCGTAAGAAATACGTGCCTGTTATAATATTGATTGGCTCCGTACAACGAACTGTAATCTGCCTTTTCCATAGAATCCGGATATTCTTGCTCCTTTTCCTCTGCATTCTCATCGATATACAATTCTCCGCTGGGCACGCTGTCGGTTTCGGGACAATCTTGCACCTCGTTTTTGACTTCTGTCTCTGCCAGTATGAGCAAAAACGATTCACGTTCACGTGTTTTTAATTAAAACATGTTCGGCATTATTGTACTATTACAACATTAAGAATTCATAGAAAGATATTTCTGGACAACTAAATTAAAAAAAAAATTAAAAATAAAAAACAATATCTAATTAAAAATATTTAATATAATAAAAATAAGTTCTTTTAAAGAAACAAATAAAAATTGTAAAATGAGTAAAATGAAATAATAAAATTCATTCAAAATTATTGTTACTATTGTTTAAACACGAAACAAAAATTCAAAATCTAAAAACGATTTCTCTGTTGAATTACAAAAAATCTTTCTTTTTAATAAAGAATTCTAAAATTTTTTCAAGAAAGAAAATTATTAAATGACTTTTTATACGATTTATATTGCTATAATATATACTTATATTATAATTACTGCTACTATTACGTTATTATTATATAATAATATTATTATAGTATCACTAAAAGAAAAATTTGTTTCGAAAGGATTAACATAAGTAAAAACTCTTTATACGATCGAAAATCAGCAATAATCATTATCGTTGCGATAAGGATATTTCGTTTGAATTCGAATCGCATCGTGCAATTAATTACACAAATAATTAGCGGTGTTATAAAAGCACGAACAGTCCATTACAAAAACCATTGTATATCGAAGTTTTATAAAAGTGAAGAACAGTGCGGCGTACCATCAACGACCAGGTATCTCGTTTTAATTCAATCGACTGGCGATATACACGTTCAAAAGGGAAGCGGGAAATACAGACGGAAGCCTTTTCGAAACGTTGAATTTAAACCGTTTTATTGGAGGTTTCGGTTATCATTGCGCGCTGCTACCTTACAAACACAAATTTTGCAATTCTTTTCACGAAAGATTTTTTTCACGATTGTGTATATATGCGTGTGTATAAAAAATATGAAAAAAAAATTGATAAAAATTTTGTATGCGTCAAAAAAATATGAAAAAAGTAAATAAATAAATAAATGAATTGATTGATCGATAAAAAGAAAGAGAGATAGGGATGATTTGTAAACGGACCTTTAAAAGGGTAGCCTTTTAAATGGACCCGGAATGGAGGAGCTTTATTTACCATTGTTTGCGGCTCGAGGATGCTGTACCGAGGCCTCTGTCGACGATGACACGTTGCCAGCATTATCTAAAACGCCTGCTGGTTTCGTTGGATCATTGTCTTCGGTTAACATATCACTCTGTCTGAGAGAAAAGAGAATAAAGTTGCGATTTAATATGATAGTTGAAAATCGGATTTAAATAAAGATAAAAATAATAATTTGAAATAGTGAATTATTCATAATGATTTATTAATCTCTGGTTTAAAAATATTGTTAATTTAGGAAAATTTTTTTATATTAGGAACAAGTAAAAATTTCAAAACTCGTTATTGATTTATTTTTTAGTTTGAATCGATCAATTCTAATGAAATGTGAAGAATGTTGACCCGTCTCAACATTCTATAATTGATTATTATTTTTAGATTTTAACTTTTAAATTTTCATTTAAAATATTGAATTTCTTAATGCATCAGAAAGAAAATGATCGATTAATCATGTGATCAGTTAATCATAAAATTTATTGATAAAATAGCTTAAATTAATCATTAAAAAAGGCTATACATATAATTTAATTTCTAAATCTTAAATTTTTGTAAAAGATGTTTTAATTTTTAAAATATAAAAATTCTTTTTATTCATGTTATTTTGCAATTAATAAAAAGTAATTTTTGTCTCTTAGCGATATTTATCGGCATAGCGTCTGTGCAAAACGATAATTCTTATAATGTTTCTCAAATCTTTTGAAATAATCTATTATTTTCAATATTCTCAAAATTTTCAATGCAGATAAATATTTTGGCAATTTTAAATGATTAAAGAACTTCGTAATAAATCAATATTCGAAGATAAAAAATATATTTAAATTATAAAATTCTTTAATCTCTTTATTTTTAAAACTTTTAAAATATGTTTATTCTACAAATTTTAATATTTTGGTAATTATAATACTAAGGAATGAGATGTGTATATAATATCTATAAATTATTCTCACAAAACAAAAAAATTATCTATTTTTTTATTTTGATAAATTTGTCTCTAAAAAATCGAAGAATCCAATTTTTTTTTTTTTTCTACAAAAAAATTAAATTCATTTGAAAAAGATTTTGAAAAATCGATATCGATAACCAATCACGCGGTTCCGGTTGACAGGAAAAGAGTTAATGTATACGAAACGGGCAGTTTCGTTATTGTCTGCCAATTGCGTGTCGAAGAGGTGGAGTGACTAGATGGGTAGGCGTACACCAAGAACCTTAGAGAACAGCCAATGAAACTTCCTTTCACGATGTTTTACATTATGTATTCTTTATGTTGCCAAGTCGCTATATCTGTCTGTGCTCCGCCCTTATTCGCGTTTATATACTTCGTAATGCACTATATATATTGCGAAAAAGAGACTCTCTTGCATAAGGGCGCTTTCACACTGACGACGATATCGTAATGATATACCGCATCCGCGAGATTAAATTCCGATTTATTTATGGATAGATCTCTTTTTCTTTCTCTTTCTTTTTGTCTCTTTCCTCTCTATATCACAGAATCTATTTCGAAAGATTTCGTCAATTTTCTTATAAGAAACTTCAAAAACTTTTTTAATTAGTTTATTTTAAAATGTTTCGTTCTTGGGCAGAAGAGATAGAAAACGGAAAGCAGATATCTTTTTCACTAGTTTTTCATTTGTTTTATTTTTGAATAGTTTGGAAGATTTTTCTGCATAAGATAGAGGTTAAGTTTCTGAAAATCGAATAATGATCAATATTGAATTTTTGATAATTATAAAGTTGAAAAGTTTATTAGTTTTTTTAAATTAAAAATCTAAATGAGAAGATTTATATTTTAATTATTTTTCTTATCTAATCGTAGTTTTTTTTATTAAAATTTAGCGTCAGTTTTCCAGTTTTCTAAATATTATTAATGACGTAATCTACATAGCTTCAATATTGAATATCAATCTTAATTTAAATAAAAAATAATGATCGATTCGATTAAAATAAGTTTTCGATACCGATTTTTAATGATACATATAAAAGGGCACTGAACTTATGATTTATAAATTGTCATTCACCAAGCGGAACAGGATTTCAAAACTGTTTACCATTAATAAAGTTCAACAAACTAACAATGCCTTGTAGTTCCTTAGATTACTTACAGCAAAAATGGTTGTAATTATATAAAGAACCACATAGGAAAAGAAATTTAAAAAAAAAGTCAATTTCTTTCAATTATAATAAAATAATATAGTTTTTATAAATTTTGATGATTTAATTAAAATTAAAAAAAGTTTTTTAAAAAATATTCCAAAATTATAAAATATTTCAAATATTTTCATAAAATCAAATAATAAAAATAAATAAATAAATATTGATTAAAAAATTTTTTGAAAATATAAGAAAAAAAGAAACAAAAAATTTAAGAAAAAAGAATTTGAATAAACTTATTTGCTTTTTTTGCATTTAAATATATATAAAAATATATGATATTAAATCCTTCTCCTATAAAAATCGAAACTTAGATAAATATAATTTATCTAAATATATATTATAATTGTAAATATTATTGTATCGATCAGTAGCACAATTGATATCGCAATGAATTTTTTTATATTGCTGACATAAGGAAGTCAGAAATCTTTAATTAGATTGATAGATAACAAAGAGAAAAAAAAGGATCAAATTAAATTATGATTCTGTAAACAAATCGATTCTAAGTAGAGCATATGATTAATTACTCGTTCTCGAATGCGGGGGCAGTAGTGTTCTCCACGGGTACGGACAAATATTTTCTCTCGGGTGTTTGTAATTGAATAAATCATTGTCAATGGAACGATCGTTTCGAGAAAAGTACGAACAATCGCACATCAAGGATACATGATCCTCTATATATGTATAATATATATTGTACATATATGTAAATATATGTAAATATATATATATATATATATATATATATATATATATATAC